CGCCGGCCCCGACCCACCCAGTCGGGCCCCCAGGGACCCCAAACGGGTACCAGCCCGATAACCGCCCTGCCCGGCGCGGGAGGGCCCTTGCTGCCCAGAGAGGTGGGGGTCTGGGCTAAGCCAGGCCCCCGCGTGTGCCCAAACGCAGGGCAGTGGCAGTCAGGAGCCGGGGTCTGTTCTGACACCCCTCTGGGCACCGCCCGGGCACGACCAACACCCGAGGGGCTGAGCCACTGCTCTGCTGGGCTCTGCGCCTGGCGCTGAGGGATGAAAACCTGAAGAGCTGTGGTTTAATCTCTGGTTTTGTGCTGAAATGAGCTTCATAATCTCTCTACATCATAGCAGTTATGATGTAATACAACAGTTTTTCCCTATCAGGCTATTTTTTGTCTGAAAATGAACCTATAAAATACTGTAGTTACAGGGTTTTTTCCATGTGTTTTGCTCCTGACACTTTTGTCTTCCTATGCTTTCAAAGAACACCAAGTATTCGGTGTAACTAAGGTTCTGCAGGAATGATCTTTTAACATGTAGAGATGGAAAGCAAAAGATTTCATGGGCAAAATATTTACTGCGTTCAGAAGTAATGGAAACAGTATCTGCTTTTGACCCCAGCAAGGCCTCTAAAATTCAATTCTCAGGAGAAAGCCACAGTCAAAATAGCAAAGCCCTAATTCAGAGACATGAGTCTCCTCAACTAGGCACCAGAGTCCTCTGCTGATGCTATAACCATAGGTCAATGCCACTTAAAACCAACTTAGGGACTATTTAGAGGCAGGCAAAGGATGTGTTTGATCCATCTCCCCTTTTAATCAGCCTTTCTTAGTTATTGATGGAGCCTCTGCTCCTAACCACCCCAGCCCCCAGAGCGCCATACACACAGGCAATTTACCGGGCTTCGGGGGGGTAATTTGTCTGGCGACTCTGGCGCGGGGCTGCAAGGGGGCTGTGCCGCAGCTGATTGGAATCGTCACCCGTTCTCAGACTCATCCGGCCTTCAAACTACAGCTAATCACCTTTGGGTGCACAACCGGGCGGGTGGGTTTAATATTCATCTTAATTGCAACGAGGATTGGGTCATCCATAAGAAATTTCTCTGGAGATGCAATTTAGACTCAAAACTATTCTGTGTTAGATCTTTAAAACTCCTTTGAAATACTCCCATTTCCCTGCCAAAAAGGCCAAGAAGAAACAAGAAAATAATCATAGTTTTGATGAAATATTTCTCAGACCCTGTTCTGCACCTGAGGGAGAGGGGAGCCAGCCCACGGTGAATCCTGAGCAGCCCCCATTTCTTATGGCTCCAGCTGTATGGGGTCAATGAGCTCCGCTCGCTCCTTCCTTCATTACCCCTCTGCTTCCACTAATGGTCCCACTCGCTTTTCGAGCACTGAAGACTCCGTCGCTGCTTTGCAGTTTTCTGAATATTTCTCTGTAATTTGAGCAGCACCAGTAGGCTTTCACTCAGGGACCTTGAAGTCCTTCAGTGTGTCATCCTGTCAGGCTCATTTGATCTCACCACTTCCCTTTCTGTTTCATATTCTTTCATTAGCAGCCCAAGAAAGTTTTCATCTAATTCTTGAACTCTGGCTTCATTCAACAGAAGGGGCTTAGGCGCCATCCTTTATACACCTCTGGCATAAATTTACAGCAAGTTTCAAGGAACAGGCAGCATGTAAAGCCAGGTCTGAATTCAGCCTGATTCTTGGTTTCCTTTCTGATTTTCTCTCATTTAAAAAAGCCAAGGGAGGTGGGCCGCGGGATCGGCCCAGCCATTGCCTGGTTGAAGGAGCAGGATTGTGAGGATGCAGCCTGGGTTTGCACTCTGTAAACCCAGAGAGGGCAAAGGTCCCCGCTGCAGAAAAGCAAGATAAAAGGAGGGAAAAGGAGAGGTCGTTAAACTGTATCTTGCTTGTGGAAAATAAAAGCAAAAAGTGGGACAGATGTACCCAGGATGAACTTTTCCAAACGCACAAGAAGTCCTGTGCGTTGCACCTAGTCCATCCCCCATGATGGGGTCTTCCCCAGGGACACCCTCCTGCGCTTTTGTCCTGCTCGGCTCACGTGCCCGGGGACCGCAGCTCCGTGTTCACGGAAGGTCCCCATGTGCCAGGCTCCGTGGGAAGAATCACGGCGCGACTGTGCAGAGCAGAGGCCGGGGTGGGTGTTTGCTTGGGCAGGTTTTTGTGCCAGGAGGGGCACCCAGGAGAGAGCTGTGGCTCTTCTCTCCAAATACATCCAACTGTCTGACTGAGGGTGCCCGTGAAACTAAGCAACAAGACATCTCCTCGGGTAGCAGCGCATCTGGCAGAGAATTACAGAGAGAAGTATCTCCTAATACAAACTGTGGGCTGGGCTTTGAGAAGGGGCTGTTGTGAAGCTACAGGGATTTCAGAAGGAAGCGGAGATGATAATTAATGCCTGGTTCAAAAGCAATTATACCAATTATGTTTTTAATTTAATCTCTGCAAAATTTGGGACTCTTAGAAAATGTAAATAAACAGCTCTAAAAATATTTATGTCTCTCCTGTTGAGCATCCTCCCCAGATCCCGGCTAAAAGAGCTACATTCACGGCAGCACTTGCCTACCAGTCCTAGGCAGGATTTGCAGGCAGATGATCACAGAAAATTCCCTTGGTTTTGCCCACTACAGAACTACAGGGCTGTCCATAGAAATATGCCCGACAGGGAATAAGCGTTCTCCCGCCACCTGCAATGGGGCCGAGCATCGCAGCAGTCCGCAGCGAACCTACACCAATTTCCACTCTTGTGCTGATGCCCGGACCACGCAGGATTCCTGCCTGTCAGGACGGTGGGAAGTTGCGCTTCTCACTTAGCTCAATCCCGCCCCGACTCCCATGTGCACCAGTGGGGGAGTCCCCTGAAATACCGCGGTTTGTCCCAGCTACTGCTGCAGGATTGCCACAGCATGTCTCCTCAGTCAATCTACAAATGCCATTTTTCCCCACGTTTTGGAACCGTTACATCCTAGAGGCCGTGTGTCTGCACTGCATCCCATCCCATAGCTGTGTGCTCCAGTTGCTGTCGTGTGACATAGTATTGCAGAGATGATCTGAAGTGACCGAAGGCTTTGGGGAAGCAACTGAGATACCTCAGAAGGACCTGGCTTCCCAGGTTTCCTTGCCCTCTGCAATGCAGGACATGGGGCTTACAGCCGTGCTGGTCACTTCAGAAAATCTTGGCTGAATTTGTCTTTTTCTTCAGTAATCCGCACAACTGAAGGGGTCAGCAGGCCCTGCACAGCAGCACGAGATGTATTAAGGCTCTTTTTTTCCTGTTCCTTTAGGGTCTTGTCATGCCACATCCCGACTAACGAGCTCTCGCTTTCCATGTGCCGCCGTAGGTTCAGCCCATATGAGTGGTACGATGCTCATCCCTGCAACCCAGGATCAGACATTGTGGAGAATAACTTCACCCTGTTGAACAGCTTCTGGTTTGGGATGGGAGCACTGATGCAGCAAGGTACGGCGGTGCCTCCCCGCCCATACCCCCCCCTGCCACTTCTCCAGCACAGGCCTTTTGTTGTTTAAATTTAAATTTAGTATTCATTTTGTTTGCAACAGGAAAAAGATAAAACATCCAAACAGGCACAGAAGCGCTTGTCAGCACCAGCTGCCCGCCAAAAGGCGACAAGGTGTGGGAGAGGGGCGGCAGCTCCCCTCCGGGCCCTCCCGGCAACCGCTGTGCTGGGAAGCGCTCAGCGCCCACTGCTCCGGCTGAGATGTGCCGTACGGCACCGCAGCACCCAAGGGAGCCGCATGCACGGCTGGCAGCCTCTGCCTGGGGCCAAGGCCAGCAAAGGGCTAATGAGACAATAACCTCATCAGGGGAACCGGCTGTGATCTGCAGTTCAGGAACTCCTGGCAACTGCATTTGTTGTTATTCACTCGCCTTGAACTTCACCTCCACACAGACACCCGCTGAGCCATGCTGGTTCACCTGCACAGCAGGGATGGAGAAACCGAGGGGGACGCGTGCCAGGGCTGAGCCCTGTCTGGGGCACCCCAGGAAAAGGTCCAGGGTTCTTATGCCACGAAAGCAACCCGATTTCTTCTGTGTCAGAGCAGGCCAGAGCTTTTCAGTCTTTTTTTTTGGCACCTGCCTCTATTTGTACTTTCTGCCTTCTGAGGGTCAAAGCCCCCATCCCGACAGCTCACCCCGCAGCTCCGGGGACAGACTCATCACTCGCCCGGCGAGGCAGAGCCCCGCGAGCTGCAGCTGGCTGCCGGCACACACGTGCCCCTGCATAATAATAATTACTATTAATGAAGCGTGCACGCTCTGGCAGGTGTCAGAAGGAGCAGCTCCCGAGCCTGCCGCCTGGAAGCCCACAGCCAGATGATGGAGCGATGCCGTGTTCGCACGTGATCCTGCTGCTGGTGTGCACAGAGGGGCCCCCACCCACCATGCCCCGAGGAAGAACACTGCCTTGGTCTCCCTCAGCTGTTTAATTCACCAAACTCGTCAGCATCCCACAGATTCTGTAAATTCCTATTTGTCTTCATTCAAGCAATTTGTTTAATTTCAGGATCTCTGTCCCGGCTTGCTCTGTTTTAAATCAGCTTTTACAGAAGATGGGGCATCTTGCCCTCTGGTCTGCCTCCATTTTTATCCTCATCTGGTCATTCTGCACATTGTGAAATGGCCTGAAACTCCCTCCAGCGCAGGGCAAAGAGGATGGCAAGGAGCATCTCCAGGCAGCTCGGCCTGGCAGCCACAGCGTGCGAGACTGAACATTTTCAGTGCTACTGGTGTAAGATACCGCAACGACAGGGACCTTAGAAAGGCGATATGGATGGGATTACACTCATATATGTGGATGGAATAGAGCAAATGGAATATATATAGATGGAATGAATAGAGTAAATCTGTTAGGAAGACAGCAGAGGGGGAGCTTCTGAGCAGCTCTGAATAAGGAAGAAAATTCAGCTGTGATCTAATTGCAGAAAATCCAGGAATAGAATTAAGTGGAAAATGTCAAACATTTGTCACATTTTAATTTACCATGTATCAGTAGTTATATCTAGAGAGCAAAAGAACCACAGCACCGGCTTGGCGGCATGCACAGCGCTACCGCTCCATGCTCCTCCTGCTGCCACTGCCACAGCCTGTAATAGAGATTCTTCCCAGATCTCAGCTGCCCTGATGGACAGTGACAGTTCCCAGAAAGATAGTTTAGTGGGATGAATCATCCTCTTATCAGATGCTGATAAATGAAAATGAAAAGAGCTGTATTCTTTTTAACTCTATTCTGCATCTAAGAAGAAAAATATTTCAAAGCTAGACTGATGTCACACCATCCAGTGCATCAAAGGGCAAAGATGGAATGGGAAAGAAGGAGGATCTTGAGAAGAACCGAAGCATCCCTCGATATCCAAGGCTCCTCTGCTTCCTTGTGCCTCCTTGCTGCACTCAGGAGAAAAGCTACACTCCATGCTATGCTTTGATGCCACACTGCTTAAAACCATTTTGCAAAGCCCAATATTTGTTGCAAATTCCAGGTTGGATATATCCTCTGAACGCAGCTGTTTCAAACCCAAAGCTCTTTCCTGACTTTAAAAGGTGTCTTGAGCGATTACAAAAATAGCACACCCTGTTTAGTCCTTCATGTCTGCTCAATAAAAGTCATTCCAGACCTGTTACACCTTTTATGCTGTAACGTCTCCTGCTTTCCTACTTCTAACTGGTATTCAAAGCACTGGACCCTGATAGTTCCTTTCTCTCACCATTTGATCTTTTTTTAAACCTTGTGTATTTGAACACACTCCCTACAGTGAGTCCTTTGAAGAGTAATCCATATAAAAGCAAAGCACTTTTTAAATGGCAGAACAAAACGCTCATAAAAGTTCATAAATAGCTTGCTATTTAAATCTCATAAAAGCAGCCTAGTTAATTACTTCAGTTTGAATGTTTCCTGTAAATTGTGCACAGTACCCAAGGTCAGCAATAAAGGGAGAGGGTTTTTCTGCAAATGCTACAAAAACCCCACTGATTTCCTTGCGTGCAAGATGTCTGGACGATTTGCCTCAAAATCGGTTGGTTTTAATGCATAGCTGTTACAGTTTTGACAGCGAAACCTGATTCTTTTTTTATATATATGTATGTATGCGTACAATGTACGTACATATATATATAACACGAGTCCTTTCTCTCTCTGTTTCCTCTTCCCTCCTTCTCCTTCCCCCTCTCCCACCCCAGGCTCTGAGCTGATGCCCAAAGCACTGTCTACACGGATCATTGGTGGCATATGGTGGTTCTTCACCCTAATTATCATCTCATCCTACACGGCCAACCTTGCCGCCTTCCTGACGGTGGAGAGGATGGAATCCCCCATCGACTCGGCAGATGACTTGGCAAAGCAGACAAAAATAGAGTACGGAGCAGTGAAGGATGGAGCTACTATGACCTTCTTCAAGGTGAGACCAAGCAGAGGCTTTCTACCTTCCAGGCAGAGATGCAACACTCTCAGGCCAATGGGAGTGAGAACAAAGAACCAAAGACAAAAAGCCTCCTAAGCCACCACTGCTTCTCCTTATAAGCAGGTTGTTTCAGTCTCGCATCCTTGTCAAGACTTGGCAGATCAGCTTATGTAGATTCACATCGTGGCTAAATCCCCTTCTCCCCTTTGCTAACTGAAGTCACAATTAAAAAATTACATTGATTTTACAGCTTTGGAGACTGTATTGGCTCAGATACCCTAAAAGAAAGCATGTATTAGGCACAACAGGACAGGTGTATCTTATATTAAAGGCCTACAGATAAATCTTACGTTCCCTAAAGGATCTTCCCTACTTCCACATCTCACCCATTGCAGCTCCTTCCTTGTCTCTGCAAGAACAGCTCGCAGAGCCCTCGAGGCCAACCCGGCCAGCCTTCAGGGACAGAGAAAAGAACAAATGAAACCTAAAGCTAGACAGATGTTGCAAAGTGCCCTCCCTGACCAGTATGTTTTACAGCTGAAATATCTTGTCCTTCAGGTATTCACATTACTGTGGTCAAGTTTTATTAACCTCTGAAACCCAGCGCAAGGTAACACCACCAATGCATCAGAATCAAATTACATTAATTTCTTCTCTTTAAAGCATAATTAATTTCAGAAGTTAGCCAACACTGCAGAGGAGGGTGCTGAGAGCATTCATATTTCACTATTGCCTCAAAAATGGAAAGAAGCTGAGACACTTAAAAAGACCTTAAAAACCACAGCTGGCCTGTAAAAACACACTTTTTGAAAAAAGAGTGAGAGAATAAAGGAATAGAAATGAGGGGTGATTAATCTAAGGAATGATCATCCTGGCTTGGAAAAGGATTTAAATTCAACGACGAACTCAAAAAGCCATCTTTCAAGGAAAAGTTTGGAGTTATCTCCGCAGGCGGCGCAGGGCCCCGGCCACGCTCCCCTGGCAGCGCCGGTCAGAGCTTGGCCCCGGCCGCAGCACCCGACCGACGCCGATGCTGTCCCGGGGTGCTTTGTCAGGGGGGCAAGAGGGGCACGGGCAGAGCAGAGCCTTCGCCTGCAGGAACGGGGCCACGTCCCCCCGCCTCTGCTGCGAGCGGTGCTGGGGAACGCTCCTTCCCCTCCAGTCCCCCTGATTCAGAAGGCAATAGATGGGCCAAAGTCTGACAAACAGAGTTCACGCTTTAAAAAGCAGGTTGCGCCTGCAATACTGAAATAATTTGAATAGGCACAGTGTAAAGGCAGCTAGACTAGGCCATCAGCAGTTTAATTGCCAAGACTCGTTAAAGGAAGCCAATGTGCTGAATTTTAATGACAAGAAACAGCAGCACTCTCTGCAACTTTTCCTGGCTATGACTTGGTTAAGGAGCCACTATACTTTCCGAATCTCCATGCTTACTTTGTCAGGTGGCAAGACAGATTGTTAAAGAAACATGGAGGATTTGGGTTGGCTTGATATTTAATTAATTCTGGGAAATGAGAATGTTGCATAGAATGGCAGGGTGCTGCTGGTTAGTTTGCTTTCTGCAGCAGAGCTGCTGCATGCAGTTTTGTCTTTGGCATGGTCAGATGCGTTGTGTTACCTTCCAAAACCAGTATCAACCTAGAACAGCCATCAGGAAAAGACAGTCTTTTACTGCTGTGTTTTAACTACTCTTTCTAATAACAGTTTTACATAGGAATAAAAGGAAATTGTCTTTTTTTAAAATCATCAAGGACACAGTATATTTATTGTTTAATATCATTATCCATCAGAATAATTTCTTCAGGCTTCTAACACGCATTTGGCAGGGTTTATTGATGCAGAGTATTTTCCTTTTTCTCTTTTATTGTTGTTGTTTGGAGATGAATTCTCCGGGATGTCCCTTCTGACAAGTGTTTTGATCACTGGAGTAGTGAGCGCGCTCGTGTGGGATGCAATGTTATACACTTGTCCTTTGTGTACAGAGAAATACAGGAGAGCCAGAATTTCTCCCGCCCCTCAATGAGGTCTTTATCAAACGTCTGGGCAAATCCCGTGGAGGTTTCGGTACGGCTGCTCTGCCAGTGCCACCTTCACGGGGACGACTGTCAAACAGCACAAAGGTCCGGGGCACAGAGCACGGGGCACCTCTGGTGCCGGTGGGACTGAAGGAACGGCGAACTGCAGGAGGCTTCGTGTCCCCTTGCTCTGCTCTGCTGACAGTGGGGTTACCAGGGGGTCCCGCAAGCTGTACGCTGCTGTGCGACCGCTGCTCTTGAAAAGCTCCTGGAGATCTGGAGGTGAAGCTCTCCTGCAGTTCGCTGAACAGACTGTCACTGCTGGGACAAAAGGCTGACGGCAGCACCCGAACTAGGATCTCACCTGTTTTCTGGATTATCCACTGAGACTTAGCCCAAATTGCTGCCTTGCTCCTTGTATGACTGCTCCCCAAAGTAGTTCCCCTTACGTTAGGAACTCACTCCGCTTCTCCACGTTCAAAAAGCTGCAAACCACATACACTGACCCCCCTGAGCAACGGCCGGCACCCTGCGGCCACCATTGTCCTTAGCTGGATCTCACCCGGGGCTGCAGCCCTGCCGGCACCTGGGAGGTCTGACAAAGTGGGATCTAGGGCTGCAGGAGGAGAGCACCATCCCAGGAGCTGATCTTAGGGAGCAGTGGGAAACGGGAGGAAGAGGAAGGCAAACACCTTGCACACTGTTCCCCGAGATGGTTCCCAAAGCACTAACCAGTTTTCTGCCTGTGGTCAGGCTGACCGAGGGTTCACGTAGAGCTCACCGAAGTCACTGCAGAAGTTTGCACCCAAACCAAGCTAAAACGCATCTCTGGGGCAGACCCACAGCGAGAGATCTTGCTCCCACAAAGGTTTTTGCCTCATGCAAATAGGAGGCAGAAGAGAGAGTTTTACCAACCGTACTGGCAGATTTTTACTTCATGAAAAGAACTTTGGAGAAGCTATTTATTCCCTGGCAATGCGGATCGAGTTACAGGAATAAACACAGATCAATTAATTTAGGAACAGCATCTAGCATTCATTATAAATCATGCCAGAGATCCTTCACATCTTGCAAAGGATGCTGTCTCTATGAACAGACACCGGGTTTAATGTGCAGTTTGGAGTACGGGTGTGAGAGCGTGTGTACGTGTGTACATATATATTCACTTGTACAGAAATGTTAAATCCTCAAGAGTAAGTATCTTCGAGTTAGTGAAAATCAATTTATTTTTTCATACAGGCTGGAATTGAAAATCTTAAGCCTGAAAGTTACTTTCTTGCCAATTCCACTGATAAAAAAGCATATATGTCTTGGCAAGATGCCTTGTAGTGGCTCCTCTAAACTATTCCATTAATTTATTTGGGTGACTGGTCTTGAAGCATTGGTTATTAAAGGTAGCTTCTGAGCTGTGACTCTAAAGAATGAATTCAGAGGCGTTGTCAGTGTCGTTGCAATAGCTGCATTCAGAGGGGCTGGTACTCAGCTTTTCATACAATGATCTCATTTAGCACTAACGCAGGGTTTTATTAAGATGCAGGGGACAGCGAACCAGATTCCGATGCTATTTATCCCAACCAAAATGAGGAGGAGCTCCACTCACACGAATTGGCAGGAGAGGTGTAAGCAGGAGAGAGACAGGAACCCACTGATGTGAACCACGGCTGCAGTCATCAGCAGCATTAAACTACCGCCTTTGTTTATTAGCAATAATCTCCATCATTCCTAGCGTTCCGGAGTTCACGACTCTGGAACTTCTCTGCCAGGAAGAAGTCAGTGTCAGGCCATTTATCTTAATGCTTCAGAGCAACCAAGCGCTTCCTCTTCATCTACATTGGGCAGCAAAGCAAAGCTGTCATTGAGGGGGACCTGGGACCCTACGGACGATGCACGGACACAGCGGGGTCTCCCTGCCTGCCACCAACTCAGGTTTTTGTTTGGTTTTTTTTTAAATGCACCTCATAAAAGTAAATGGTGATTCCATAGAGAAGAAATTTGTGCCTAGCCACAGCACAGCAAATACCAGATCAAACCAGTAATTAATCCCAGCAAGGATTTTTTTAAGGTAAATTACTTCAGCTGTAAAATCAGAGGTGCGGCGAAATAAAACGTACACACACACAAAAAAGTCCAGCAAAATAAACACAATTTACGTTCATTCTTTACTGGCTATTAAATTACCACTAAGATGTTTTTGCTTATGTGTATGGTATGTTCTCAGGTGACACCATCCAAATTTCCATAAAGAAGGGACCACCTTTGCAGTATGGCTGAAGTATTCTGAGAGGAGGAAGGAGAGGAAGGAACAACTTTTCCCCTAATAGGAAAAAATGTATAGTGGTTGAATTAGGTGTGAGCTGGAGCACTGTACACTCCTCACCATGGTTACTCCTGCAATTTTTGATTGATGACTACTCTCACAATGACTGACAATTGCTTCTAAATTGGACTTCTAACAAATAGTCTACCAAACTGCTAGTGCTGTGCTGAGAATTACAGTTGGTGAATTTTCAGTTGGACAAGGAGTGTTCTTATCTCATGTTAGTCAAGTTAAAGAAATTAATAGGAAATAAATTCCCGGTGAGGAGGTGGCAGGTTTTAGACTACAGGCAGAGCCTGAGATTGCCTTGACCAGAGAGGTGCGTCGAACCGCCCTGCCTGCACCCAGGGCCTGGCCTCCCCTCCCCGAAGGACCTGCCACAGCCTCGGCTTTGGGGAAGAGGAGGCCATTGCAACCAGCGGCGTTCTGCTGCGGGGCAGACGGCCCTTCTCTGCTGAAGGGCTCGGCGCCGTGTCGCTGGCTCGCTCTTTCAGCGGTTCCATCAGGCACGACCAAGCAGCGGCAGGTAGCCCTGGCGTGGTGGCGAGCCCTGGCCTAGGCCTGCTCCAGCCAGAGAGGGGGCTCGACGCGACGAGGCGGCCCGCCCCCCCCGCCATGGCTGCCCCTGCCAGGGACGCCCAGAGCTGGGCCCGAAGGACCGCAGCCGGGGCTCAGAAAGCTGGGCTCCTCCTGGCATTTCAAAACACAATTAAGTCCTTTCAGCTGGTCAGACGCAGTGATTTAAGAAGAGAAGAGAAAAGTGCTTTTTCTCTTCCAGTGAGCCCCATCTCATGTAATTTAAGTTGCCTGAAGAGCTACAATGCCTCATGCAAGTCCTATTAGCTTCACTAAATGCAGCCTATTGATTTTTTGCCAGTTTATTTTGCTCTACGCTTTAAACTGGGAGAACACTGATGTTTAAGAGCTCTGTGTCAACACCCAAGGAGCATTAAGTGCAGGAAGAGGAGGAGAGAAAGGGAGAGTCAGTGAACCCAGAGGCCTCTGATGTGAACTATATAAATGTTAAACAAGTCCTTATCAGCAAGCCGAGTATGCTATTCATTTCAATTACCCATTGTAATGCACAGACATTTAATAATCCTTTTGGAGGCTACATTTCTTGCTGCTTTTTGAGGTTTGATAGATGCCACAAATCTACCTTACAGGCACTGGTCCAGATTTTCAAGTGAGGGAGATTATCCCGCCTCTTCTTTGCTCCGGCGCATCCACTACTGCACATTCATCAAGTGGATTATAACAAGCATGAGCTTTAACTGAGAAGAAATGAGTCCATGGGTATTTCAGTCAGGAGAATGAGACCACAGGGTTAAAGACAGAGGAACAGCCCTTGTCACTGCACTACATTGACCAACTTCAGGGTGTTAAGCTTTTGTTTAACTTTTGTTAAACACATTGAAAAAAAAAAAAAAAGGAGGTGGATAGGCAAAGCGTTTGAACTATAAAGCATTATGAGGGATTTTTTTTCTTAGCTAATTTACCCTTATTTATAGTGTTTTTATCAGAAGCACCTATGCTGGCACATTTTGGGTGATACTGAAAAAACGAGGGGGAGATGCGATAGCAGCAGTTGGGATGATGGGCTGGGGCTCCATCTCCTGCTTTCTTACGGAAGGACAGAGACCTGAAACGGCAATAAACGACAGCTAAACCAGAAAGTGCAGCTTCTGCCGCAGCAGCTCCTTGTGCAGCTGCAGGTGAGCAGTTGCCCTTATTCAAGGCAAAGCACAGGGACTTATCAGCCCCTCCAACTCACTGGCAGCTTCAGGCTCTTGCTAAGTAGTAGCGTGGAGGAGGAGGTCTTGGCTGACTAAGCTGCCTCGTATAAAATAAGGCAAAAAGAGATCTAGGAAAAACAAGAAATTAGGCAGAAAAGAAGAATGGCATATAAAGGAGCAGGCAGCAGCATGAGCACAAGCCTCAATATCCAAGTGCTTTCCCAGAGCTCAACTGGATGTAGAGAGCTGGTTTGACAAGAGGTATGTTCGCCCACGGGAACACAGCGACCAACGAAGGGGGTACTTCAAGAGAACGCTGACGTGCCTTTCCTGGGGAGTCTTTCTAGACTAAAGCCAGTTATGTCTTTTGTAACAACCTACATAGAGACAATTCAGAAGGTGGCTGTAGATATATGGTATACTTCAAATGTTATGGAAAGACATAAAATAACCGTATTTCTTCTCATCCAAAACATTTTCTAGAAGAAGAAAAAAAACATTCACATGAATAGTAAGCTAGAAAACATATTCCTCCTTTTTTAACAGAATGCCTGCTGATAGTGAAAGAATATCCATGTTTATTTTTAGCCCTAAGACAATCTTCTTGAATATTTCTATGCCTCTGTTTATGTGGATACGTTAAATTTGTTTGGCAGTTGCACATATCTCAGAGGACACATGTTTCCTTGTGATGCTTGAGGAAAGACAAAAATATAATAGTGTGTGCAAAAGAGAAAATCATGCCCTCTGAAATGTTCTCTGTCTTCTCTCATTGTGCAGAAACATTACAGGATAAACAAAATTCTGGTTAGGAAACTAATACATTTAAACAGATATACAGATAGCCTGTCACACTGGCAAGTTCTGCAGGGCATCACGGCAGGGCCTCGCCGTACCTCACTGCAGCGAGCGAGCAGCTCAGTTCCACCGGCAGGATAAGGTCTCTGCAGCAGCGACTCTTTCTGCTGAGCCTCTGCACGACGGGTGCTGGAACCTGTGCCTCTTGTTACGGCACCGCGAGGCCAAACAATGTTGGGCAGGGAAAGCAGAGAGATATTAAAGACAAGGTCAAATTGGTAATAGGTTCCATTGTGTGATCTCTTCTCAAACTGGTATTATCATTTACCGTAGACACAAGGTTTCAGCAAACAGAAGACTAATTCTTATTTTGGGGGTGGGGGGTATCATTTTTCCAGAAATCCAAAATTTCCACGTTTGAAAAAATGTGGGCTTTCATGAGCAGCAAACCCACAGCACTTGTTAAAAACAATGAGGAAGGAATCCAGCGAACCCTCACAGCTGATTATGCCCTGCTGATGGAGTCAACCACCATCGAGTACATCACCCAGAGGAACTGCAACCTGACTCAGATCGGAGGGCTCATTGATTCCAAAGGCTATGGGATTGGGACCCCCATGGGTAAGTGACAGCGATGAGGTATTTGTAGGTACCCGGGAGGGGGACTAGTTACCACAAATACAAGAGAGGCAATTAAGATAATCCACTCACAATAGCAAATTTCCAAATATCAAAGCTTACACTGCCTGCCTGTTGAAGAGAGGTCTCAACAGCCCTGCTTAACGCAGACACGTTCTCTGCTTTGTGTGATTTTTGTCCTACTTTCCCCTGTGTGTAATAATGTTCTCCCTTCCCCAGGGTCACCGTACAGGGACAAGATCACCATTGCCATCCTCCAGCTCCAGGAGGAGGACAAGCTCCACGTAATGAAGGAGAAGTGGTGGCGGGGGAATGGCTGCCCTGAGGATGAGAACAAGGAGGCCAGCGCTCTGGGCATCCAAAACATCGGTGGGATTTTCATCGTTTTGGCAGCAGGCTTGGTGCTGTCTGTCTTTGTGGCCATGGTGGAGTTCATCTACAAGCTGCGCAAAACGGCGGAGCGTGAGCAGGTACTGATTTCCTCTGTTTCCCTGCATCACCATTAGCCCAGCCATTGAGGACTTTGCACGCTGACCCCAGAGACAGGCAGGGAGACGGGCAGAGGGATTCAGCCCTGCCTCTGCTGCCTGGAGGTCCAAGTGCCCGCAGCCCAAGGGCTGAAATGCAGCACCCCTGAAATGCCCTCCCCTGAGGCTCATTGCTCTGTCCCGCTCGCTCTGACAGCCTCAGGCCAGGGGGCAAATCATGTCTACTCTGATCAGGGTCATCTGCTGCTGCAGGAACTAGACTAGTAAACGTTTGTAGAGTAATTTTGAGCAAGCTGACATGTAAGTGTTGAAAATACGGACAGAGGTCCCTAGGAGTGACCGTTCTGAGCTGTTATATCCACTCACCACTATCACATGCAATCGTGTTGCACATTCCAGGCGTGATGCTTACATGCATGAAGTCTCCATCTCTTCTCCCCACGCCCGTTCAAAGACCCTCAAGGAACTGGTCAGGGTCTACCAGGAAGCCTCATAATATCAACTTTTCACACCACTTATACAAACAGCCCATCCCACCTGCAGTGACTGATTAGTGCTCACAAAACAAAAGGACTGCTTTTATGTTTTTCCCTCTTCCTTGAGTGTCACGGTACAGTAAGTGGAAAGTGCATTTGCGTGCATGACCAGAAATCAAAGCAAGCTGCCCACGTGATGGACTAGATAGATGAAGGAAAACTGCCCAGTAGCAAGCCCAGCAGGATTCGATAGCCCTCTGATTCCCAGCACGTAAATCTACCAGACCCCCCGCAGGGATTACACAAAGCACCGGCACTCCAACAGCCGCCTAGAGCTCTGCCTTTTTGCAGGATTTAGTGCGTCAAAGGTACAATTCTTGCCAAAGGAGAGAGGGGTCAACCAGACGCCTGTGCATCACTGAAGTCCCACTAAGCACAGCTGATGCCTTAAATGCAGCCTAAACCTCATGCTTGCCCTCTGCAGAGCCTAGTGTCAGCACCCTCCTGCTCACGGAGAGGTTAGCAGAACGCGTTGCCAGCAGTAACAGTCCTTTTTGTCCCTGCTCTCCCCAGCGCTCCTTCTGCAGCGCCATGGCCGATGAGATCCGGCTGTCGCTCACCTGCCAGCGAAGGGTCAAACACAAGCCCCAGCCACCCGTCATGGTGAAGACGGACGCCGTGATCAACATGCACACGTTCAACGACCGACGGCTGCCAGGGAAGGACAACATGACCTGCAACACTGGATTGACACCTGTGTTTCCCTAGGGAATGGGAACGGGGGGGCGGGAGGGAAGGAATTGCGGCAGACAAGGCTGGAAACACTCTTAACTAGGGAAGAAAGGATTAAAAAATGAGAAAAAAACAGGAAAAAAAAAGCGCCTGGTTTGGTTCATTTCAAGAACAAGGCCTTTACAACACAGCTGCGTTGATCACCGGCATAGAAGCAAGAACTTCAAAGCACGAACTGTAACATGGGTCTTGGGGCTTTTCAGTTTTGTTTTTGTTATTTTTCATTCCTTTTTTTTTTAACACTTAGATCCTACAGGCCTCATGGAGTCCAAACACACTACCATCCAGGAGTCTGATGTTTACATACTGAAAACACATGGAGGAGAAACAGAATGGAGCCAAACTGAACCTCGGTGGGTAAGGAGGAGCCCCCGAGCATGGCTTCTTTAGCATGGCAATAAAGAGAAACACTTTGTCAGGTGCAGCGTGAGCAGCCATCTGTGCGAGCATCTATTCCACACTGACACACACAGCATACTTAGGATACGTTGTCGGGAAAGGGAAAGGTATCGGTGAAGCACCGTGATGGCCAAGGCTGCGCCTTCTGTCGAAGC